AAAAATGCCATGAATAGATACATGATTTTAAAATGAAGGATTTTAATATTGAATCTCCATAGTAATGTTAATAATTAGATAAGAATAGCTACATGTTATTAAAAAGTTTCCTTATCTGATTCAAACTGTAAATTTTGCTTTTAAAGTGTAATATGATGATGTAATATCATACAGATAGAAAAAGAGTTATTAAATTGTTCCAACTTAACGCATATTTAAATAAATTTGTGTTCGATATAAGTGTAAAACCTTGGTACTGTAGTAGATTGTAATTCCATATTAGATTTGTTCAATTGATAAATCACATAGTTATATAGTAATATTTACTTCATGATATTCCGAACATTGCTCATAATCATATCAATGTAATCATATGACTTCCAACACCCGATTCCTATAGTTCTATCTATATTCTCTGCCTTTAATGGTACTGAAATTTTCCACATCTCTGGTATAGGTGTCGATTCAATGAACAAAGATTCACTAACCAATCTCTCCCTCCACCTACCTGTATTAGACTTGAGTACAGTGTTTATATCCCCCTCTGTTGTATGTTAATGCATACACTACAATATCCAAGCCTTTTCCTAGATTATTGGTCCTCTTGTAGTCTATCATTCTACATTTAGCTAAATTCCTACGTTCCGTTAATCTAACTGACCCTGACCGATCAGTCTGACCTATGTATTTGACCTCACAGTCATTGCATGTAATTTGGCACATCAAATTGTTATTATTTTTTCAGCTGGATCTATTTGATTCTTAAGCCGATAAAGCTTATCTCTGAGTGAGCTTTTGGGTTTGAATGCCATCCTAATCCCAGTCTTGTGGAGAATCCTACTCGGAGTTTCTGATGTTTTTTCTTGATGTGTTAACACAAAAGAGGCTTTGAACTTCTTTCTACTTGTGTCGTCGTCATTACTCATATTCATATTATTGTTATTGCCTTGTTTCTTATATGTTGTAAAAAATTTCATAATAATATAGGTTGACTGATATTTTAGTATGCAGGTTTGTTAGATTGAAACTAACCACTTTTTAATCCTCTTCTCTATGCAGGCCAATAAGTCATACTGTAAACTCTTAGGAATTGACCAATCTAAAATTTGAACAGTTCCCAATAGAACATAATATCGATTTTAATTACTTAGATAGCCGGTATCTTGACGTATTTTTTGACATCAACTGTCGGTTTAATGGGATAACCTGTTATGGTAGGTTTAGTTAAACGTTTAAGTAGAACAGCTAGAAAACTGACTGGTGAACCCAGGGTGCGAAATAAAGAAATGAAAAATAAAAATAAGCACTATTAATTAATGATTAACCTTTAGAGTATATCGAGAAGTTTATAAGAATATATAAGAGATGAAGTAATAACAATAATATGAATATGAGTATTGTTGACTTTCACCTATCTAGGCAGTACTGTTTCAACTACAGGCGTCGGTACAGACGAGGACGTCAAAGTCAGGATTGGAAAAGCAAGACAGGCGTTCGTTAGCCTGAAACCAGTGTGGAGATCTACTACACTCCACGCAACACAAAGAACAAGATCCGGATTCTCAACACCAACGTGAAATCAGTGCTCCTGTATGGCTCAGAGACTTGGTGCGTTACGAAGGGGATTTCCAACAAATTGCAGACATTCATCAATAACTGCTTACGCCGGCTCGTTGCTGAAGATCAGATGGATTGCCAGAAAGAATAAGCAACAAGGAACTCTGGCAACGAACTAACCAAGAACCTATCGCTCAACAAATATGCACTACAAGGAAGTGGAAATGGATTTGGCACACACTAAGAAGGTCGATTGGGGACATCACGCGTCAGGCCAATTGCTCGAGTGGAACCCCGATGGGAAGCGACGAGTTGGGCGATGGTCTCCGAGGGTGACATGGAGGAGATTGTGCGAGGAAGAAATGAGAGGTTCTGGGCAGTCGTGGCGACAGGTTCAAAAGATTGCAGAGAACATAGTGGAATGGAGACGTGCTACTGAAACTCTATGTTCCATTAGGAACCCAAGGGATAAATAACAATAATAATAATAATGACGACACAAGTAGAAAGAAGTTCAAAGCCTCTTTTGTGTTAACACATCAAGAAAAAACATCAGAAACTCCGAGTAGGATTCTCCACAAGACTGGGATTAGGATGGCATTCAACCCAAAAGCTCACTCAGAGATAAGCTTTATCGGCTTAAGAATCAAATAGATCCAGCTGAAAAAATAATAACAATTTGATGTGCCAAATTACATGCAATGACTGTGAGGTCAAATACATAGGTCAGACTGATCGGTCAGGGTCAGTTAGATTAACGGAACGTAGGAATTTAGCTAAATGTAGAATGATAGACTACAAGAGGACCAATAATCTAGGAAAAGGCTTGGATATTGTAGTGTATGCATTAACATACAACAGAGGGGGATATAAACACTGTACTCAAGAAAATTGTAGCGTCAGTTTTATTTTGTTAGCCTTTTGAAAGCCTAGGTTATTTCTTCTAAGTGTTTTTCCGCCATATCTAAGAAGTTTCATTTGTGAAAATAGCTTTAACCCGTACATTGTATGATGTTAGAGCGAAGAGGTAATCAAATTATTACGTAAAACATTTCATTAGCAGTCCTACTCATCATTGATTTTTCCTTTTGTTGATTTTAAGGCTGATGTGATCACATTTTCGTTTCCAAGTAAACTCTGTACAAGGATGTCTTTACGCTATTTCCAATGATATCTTGATTACTTTTACCTTGGAAACCAGTGAAATTTTTTCACTCGCTAGTATTCAGCTAAATATATTTGAATTTTTGTATCAGTTCGTTTCTCCATAAAAACCTCAGCACAGTACCTACGACTTCGTAATACCCGTACAGACATGTTAATGAAGTTTTGTAAACCAATAATTGAAAAAACCAGAAATCCATATTTTCTACCCATTTATAAAACCACCTAGTAGATATATTATTATTTCATTTTTTATCACTTGGGTTCCTAGTGGAACATAGAGTTTCAGTAGCACGTCTCCATTCCACTATGTTCTCTGCAATCTTTTGAACCTGTCGCCACGACTGCCCAGAACCTCTCATTTCTTCCTCGCACAATCTCCTCCATGTCACCCTCGGAGACCATCGCCCAACTCGTCGCTTCCCATCGGGGTTCCACTCGAGCAATTGGCCTGACGCGTGATGTCCCCAATCGACCTTCTTAGTGTGTGCCAAATCCATTTCCACTTCCTTGTAGTGCATATTTGTTGAGCGATAGGTTCTTGGTTAGTTCGTTGCCAGAGTTCCTTGTTGCTTATTCTTTCTGGCAATCCATCTGATCTTCAGTAACGAACGTAGGCAGTAGATATGGCATATCATAAATTTGGTTTAATGATTTACAGTAACAGATAGGGTATTATTGTCTTGGTGAGAATGCCACTACTCACTAGAATGTTAATACATTCAGGTGATAAGTTCGAAACATGAAAAAACACAACCTAAATCCCACTACTAGTCACTCTCGAATGTATTTAAAACAGTCACTAGAATAACTAAAGCGATATTAACGAAAACACACAGTATTTATCCTTATGAATTGTGAGTTGATAAATTTAATTTCCATTAAAACCTCATGTAAAAAAAACTAATCCATTGATCAAACAAGATATTTCAGCAAATGCTTTGAGAGCGTATGATTGAAACCGTAGCCAAATGTTGTCCAATCTTATCTTGTTTTGCTTCCTTAAAAATATGTGTCTGAACTTGTAATGCCAGTATAAATAGCGTCCATCTAGTGTTTCTCCGTAAATATCTCATTTTGTAATTGCAAGAAACATCAGTTGTAGTGACAAAACATTTTCTTCAACAGGCTAAAGTTAAGTGTGTGATGTTGTTTTTACTGTGATTCGAACTCGGGAACAATCGTTTCAAACTCCAGAGCGTAATACACTACATCACCAAGCCACGATGGTTACTGCTTGTGTGATGGGTACACCATTCACTGGGAGGCAGGTACATCCAGCTGACGAGTCCCAAGTAGGACGAAACGCTCATACTGGATTCCACTGCTAGCCACTATCCATCATTACTGTAGTTAGAACACAGGGGCCTCCGCAAAGGAGCCCATATACCAATAGAGACTAATCAACGACAGTATAATACAAGCAATTGTACTGAAGTTAAGTTTGCAAAAATATCATTTCTCTACTGAAGGTAGCTTGTCATGGAAACTGGTTGCTGGAAACTAAGATTCTTCCCTATAACTGGATATAGATGTCAACTTTATAACTCACTATGTTAGTGGATTAATGAAAAAAACTACAACGAAAGTATGTATTATCGCTTGTTGATCAGTATTTCCCTACATAGCCTGATTTGTATAGATTTAAATCCTGTTCTTTTTTCCATTACCGTAGTCATTTATTTCAGATATTTCTTCTGGATAGTGTTAAATGCTTATGCACTTAGGCATCCTACCAAATTTTTTGGATAAACAAGGAGCAAAGGTTTATGTAACTTGATGTATTCATATTTATATTTCCCTGCGTTAAACTGGATGGAATCCGTAGATTGTTATTGGTTTATTGGCTCATGTACAAATGCCTTGATATTGCCTGAAAATTCCAGTATGCTATAATTTTTTCTTCATGGTAGCTAACTGTAGAATCTAGAATGCGTTTTTTTTCCTGTTTGGAACTCGTCAGCTGGGTGTTCCTGCATCCCAGAGTAACAATAGCGTTTTCACAGAGACTTTGTTGCAAAACACTTAATTGAGTTCATAGTGGTCACTAGGACACACGAACCATATTCAGGCTATGCGGGCAACTGATAAGTTGAAGGAAACGCGACGTTATCATTATCAGATGATTTTACCAACTTTCTGACTATGCATCGCAGAAATAGGTGAATAAAACATGAAATTTAAACGATTTATTATACGTATTGTTATTATTTTGTAAACAAACATCTAGGCATAGTTCTTCTTTCTTCTTACTTGTCTTTTTACAATTTCTATTACAGCTTGTTCGTGCTATTTGGTTATTTCATATATCAAAAGTGATCGAGTGTTTGGATACATTCTTTTTCATTATTCGAGGTAGAACACATCTTGTAACATGGTTACACATTTATCATCATTGTACAATGATGCCATTAACATGGGCTGGAGTGAAATGGGTAGCTGGAGGTGAATTATTCCAGCCTGTTGCGGTGAATAGCATGATTCATGTGATTATGTACAGTTATTATGCACTAGCAGCTCTAGGACCTAAATGGAGAAAATTCCTATGGTGGAAACGTTATCTTACAATGTTACAAATGGTCTGTTTATCATTTTGTGTAGATTATTTTGTAAATAATGTTCATGTATAACGTTAGTGATATAAATTACTTGTTAAAAACACATTTGGTAGGGAAATTTATGTCATACTTTAGTTGTTTTCTATTTTAGCCGAATGAGATTCGTTTTTTACTCAGGAAAGTTTTCGTGTGATATAGAATTCAGCACCATGTATATTATTTTCCCTTTGGCCTAAGTATCTATCCTATCCCAAGGGTCACTTGGTAATAAAGTTCATTTTTGAAATCAACTATAAGATAAAATATGAATATGTCTAATCGGTATGTGTTTATGAACTGTCTATGCACTTTATTGACTTAAAGATCATGTAACTTAAAACTTTAACCATTTACTAAGGTGGGATAAAAGTAAACACTTATCGTAGTTTAAGTAATATACCTCTTGATGCGCGACTGCTAATTAGTGTTAATGTATCCGAAAAAAGGGGGAGAGACTACTGTATCCTGCACAGTATTCCTTACAACTTCTGCTATTTGTGTTGTAGACTATATTAGGTTCGTTATAATAACTTTCGAACCATATCTTATACTTGTCAAGGAAGACATTACTAATTACGACTATATCTCTATACAAAGCAGAGGTGATTGAGATTTCGAATGGGAAAAAACTGCAGTTGGACAATACCCATATGTTTTAACTGGAGTGTATATTTTAATGTATTTGTATCGTTATTTATATTTCCTGAAATGGGAGATTTTTAACACTACCATCTTAATTAAATCTAAGCGGTGAGGTGTAATTGTTAATATGTTATTAAATCTTTTCATAAAAAATGTTTTACTCATTTTCTTCACATTTTATACAGATCCAATTCACCTATGGGATGTTATACTCTTGTATTTCACTATATAATCAATGTGGTCTACGCAGATCAGTTTACGGATTGAATCTTTTTTATGAAGGCAGTTTACTTTTGTTTTTCTACAATCATTATCAACAATCTTATCATAAATCTAAAGGGCAAAGAACTCTGCTTACGGTAAGCGTAATCGAATTTGAAACAGTTAACGCCTTCGATGAATTTGTATAGTGTAATAAGAAGACGGAGGTTATCTGAGAAATGTGATGTATTCGCGCAATACATTTCGAACAGTCTGATCACACACTAACTTGTCAAGACATTTTATATGAAGGATGAAAATATGGTGGGATAAAATAAAGATAATATAGGAAAATATAGGGATAATAAGGAGGAATAATACATTTTCACACGTCTCTCGGCATAAAGATGCGATAAAGATTACCAAGGGACGTGGGGCTTATCCCTAAATGGTTAGAAAAACAATTACATTCAAATAATTTGATAAATACAGTGGGTAAACAGACGCGATCATCGATAGGTAAACACATTATGAAAACAGGTCACAGGATTGACCCCAGAACACCTTTTAGACCATTGTATAGGAACCAAACTTGTATCAGCGAAGAAATATTTCTTTTTAACGACTTCATTATCAAGTTGTACAGTCATATTTATACTCGGTAAGTGACAGATAACTTCACTAAAAAGTTGCTGAGTCAATATGCAGAATATATACTATCGGTGTAGGTGATGGTGTTTATTCAAGTGGAAGGATTAGAAAATTGGTCACTGAATAAGGAACTAATTGATAACAAGGGGTGAGATAAGAGATACTTGTTGTCAAAGAATTGTAAGACTGTGATAATTTAGCTAAAACATGCAAAATAGGTCAGTGAATAAGGGGATATGGGTCAAAAGTTATCAATGAAGTGAAAATTGGTGATAATGATGATAATAAAAGAGAAGTATACCAAAATGAAGTAAAATGAGATTGACAAAATAACCAAAATGAATTGTTTAAGCCAAAGTAGAGAAAGTGGTTTCACAAAACGTTTTTGAATGGAAAGTTTCGGTTTTTGTTCATGTATAGCTAATGCTTCTGCTATGCATAGGTGATGGAAACATAAACCTTTGGAGTAGTTCAATTTAACGCTGTAAATTACTTTAAAGGATGAGTCTCGAAGTGCTTAATGATCTAATTCTACTAGGTGTTCACATAAAGGAGAAGTCGTTTTCCTTTGCCCCGCCTTCGGTAAGCCAAACCGGGTAATGTTGAACAGCACGTTTTCGAAAGGGCTCGCTTATAACGTCCAATATAGTCAGCAGGCCCTTCTTCGGACATGTGCTGTGCTTATCAAGCTGGATTATTAATAAATAATCTCATGAATAGTCTGTGTTTGGTCAAGCAACACTATTAAAGTTGACTTTGAAGTTTTTGATTAACAGATGTGTGATGTTTTAGTTTGCTTATTGATCCCTTGAGTATAACTCGGAGAAACCAATTCTTGTTCAATTATAATAGGTTGTCTTAACAATGGTTTTCTTTAGGTACAAAAACTTCTTTCACTGCTTAAAATTGCAAATCAGTCATGTTTTACACTAAATTTAAAGATGTAAAGGAAAATATCCATTCCATAGATGAGTCATATTGATATGTAATAATTCATTTCGGCCGATAATCTTCGACTGATTATAAATGTTACTAAAGGAAATTAGTGTAGAATTATTGTTTATTGAAGTAATGCCTTTTAAACGGTGCGCTTTATCCACTTAACTGATTAAAGTAAACCAATCATATAACGGAAAGAACAATTATATTTTGTTGTACATGTATCTGATAGGTATAAATTATAGAGTTCTAAATTAAACATAGCATCATTACTATAGCAGTATAATGACAGTAGCTGTTTAACAATGAAAAGTACTAGACTGTTCAACTACAAATGTTGATTTCATGAACTCTAGGCATAATGCAACAACACTGCGACAAAGAGAGTAATACAAAGAAATCATGAGTTCTCATGAAAAGCACTCTGATAAGTTTTATAAAGCCTGTGCATTTGTACAACTAAGCAATGACCGAAAGATATAGACAATCACTTAGAAAAAATAAAGCATAGTGAAACTGTAATTGAAAGCTAACTACAAACTCAAGTGGAAGATGAGAACAACAACAAAGTTGAAAAACAGTGGACTTCAAGAAGTATGGCTACTCATTCTTAAAAAGTCTATCATCATCTCTGATCCACTATGAAAACAACAAGATTGAATATGTGTGAAGCTTAAGAAATGACCGGAAAGAGCTGACTGATCACAACAATTTTATCTGAATTAATAAAGGCATCTTATTGTCCTATGATCATCACCAGATTTAAATGTAATTTAGATATAACCTAACTAAGCCCACAACATGAAAATGCAGTTAACGAAATTGATGTATCACATAGCCTAATGGTTATATTGCAAACTCGGTCGATTGAGTTTGATCATTGCTTAGGTCTTTCAACCTAACAGCTATATCACTTACCATCCAGTCATTGATTTTTGAGTAAATCTGAACTGACAACGATCTTATGGATGACTAAGAAAAGTTGATGATAGCAAAGCCTAAAGAAATGTAGAAAGCATGTGTTAACTATTGGAGGGCAGTTTCTCAGGCTAATTAGACAGATTAGGGTCAAAAGTTGGTGCCTAGTGGATGATTAATTTAACTGTTGAGAACATAACTGCAGTATCGGTTACTATGCTCTCAATGGTAGTTAAAATCTCCTCTAGCCACTCTTCAGCTACCTGCTATTTGGCTTCAAATTAAATGTGTGTACTTTTAAGGCGTTCAAATCGTGTTAGTGTGAGCAAAGTTATCAAAAATGTGAAAAATAAGAGGTAGAATTGCCTGAGTTGGTTTTTACTGATTATGAAAACAAAGCCTACTTACTGGTGAATGACAGTAACCATATTTATTGACAAAAAAGCACGCCTTTGATTCCAATGACTGTTAAAGGAGATTCCCGATGCAGTTTATACATGACATGATGGAGGGGATGGATACCACTTGAAGTGTTCATCAGAATATCATCAATCAGCATTACTCGATAATCAGATCGAGTAGATATAGACATTGGATTGTCTCCTCACTTGTTTCGAATAAAGCTCCTCAACCATTTGCCTCCTTACTGTTAACAATGACTCCAAATTAATAGTCTCTTATGTAATCAGGTTGGATGGGATACGGCCATGCCGACACTTACACAGATGGATTTAATCGAGAGATTAGGAAACAGTAAATCAGGCATAAATTCATAAACACATAGCAATTAGAAGTCATATCTGACACAACTACTTACTCAACATCTACCTGCAGCTGTCTCACTCACCGGAGTGGATAGGCCTGATAAACAACGCTCGTGCAAAGCACTCATTAGTTGTTACTTGTGTGTTACTGTTTGAAGAGTATTTGAATTGTGTGAAGCATGAATATAACACTGTGAACACAGATCCTCAAGAGAAGCGTGTAAATCTCGAAGGACCTTAGCATTGATCGTTTTAGCAACGAGATTCCTGACAACAAATATGCAATGTCAAGGTGTTGGTGTGCCACTCTGGCTGTCAAGAAGTGACTGTAGTCGATTAGGAGTTTACACTCTTTTTCGAAACTTGTGTTGGTTGTGGAGTACTACATACAAGAGTTTTGAACAGCTCAAAAGGTAGTCGACTACCATTTATGCGGTCAGTCAGATATACTTAGTTGTTGATTTTGTAAGATGTGATGAGTGATTTTGAGTCTTCCAACTGAAATCGATTTTCACACCACTTGTGAAAATTGTTTTGATGATTTACGTTTGTTTCCTTGTTTGTCTGTTTGTTTGTTTGTATGTTTTGTGTTATTCACTCATCTGAGTTGTTTTTAATATTTTGATGAGGCTTAAGATTAATCGTTTAATTGTTGTTGTTTTTTTTGAGAGGGAAGTGCACTGAAATCGAGGTATTGCATAACTGTTTTCATCTTTTTTTATTATTACACATATGTAGACTGAAGAAAACTTAACAGTCAATCAAACGGGTGAGAATGCGAAAATGGATTGAATTAAATGCCAGTAACTCCAGCCAACATTCTTCACTGTTTTTTTGATACACGTATGTAAAACGAAAAACGTGACATATAAGCCTTACATTTTTATAATATGACAAAATTCTATCTTCACAATATTAAGGTCTTTACTAATTACCAAGTATTTTATTGTTTGCCTTCTTCGTAAAAATCTATGGTCAGCTGTTATACTACCACATTTTAAGTTATCTTCACATTTAAGCTTATTCTGTCGAACTATACACTTTGGAAGTCTACATGTTTGCTCGTGTTTTATCAAGATCAAATCTACAAAATTTTTCATCTTTACCTGTCTCCCTCTCAAGTTATTAATTTTTACTCTTTTTCATGTTCTTTATCATCATTGATTATGTGTATAATAAAGAAGTTGCTAAATCATTGTGTTTTCCGCCAATATTCAACATCTTGTAGTGTATTCATTTGAAGGATAACGCATGGTTAATATTTACTAGGTGATTACCAGTTTATAGATATTGGCCAGTTAGACTTTCAGATTGTTTGCATTTGGTTTTCGGGGCTGAATTATTTGTGTCTAAACTCAATAGGAAATAACGAAAGGTTGATTTACAAAGTGCTACGTAAAGCCAAGAAAGAGTTCAGATGTAGTTGTATGTGAATTAAATGAGCTATGATAACCAATGTCATTTTTTCTCTACTACTGACTGCCGACTTCAGTTTATCCAGAAGGGAGCACAATGGCGTCAACAAGCCTGACTAGTGTGCTTCACTAATAAATGTCGAGAGGGAACAACACATAAGTTTACGACTTACACCATATAACTTTCTATCAACCCAGTGGATGTGAATACATATATTTATTGATAGGTTTTGAAGAACGCTTAAGAGTAGAGAATGGAACTGATGATCAATCAACGCACGATTCAGCTTTCATCATTTTCAGACTTGGAGACAAATTTCGAAGCTTCAAATGAGAAGCAGTGACCAAAAATTCTAGTCTGGTAAGGAGGAATGCCCACATATCACATACTATGATGGATGCACTATATCTTGATAGGAATCCCAAACGTTTGAAGTGACTGGTCCCTAACTACTGGATGAACAATAATCTGTTTACCATCGGAGCCGCAGCCTCTTGACAATTTTGCCTGTGGTTGTGAATGTACATTACTGGCGATTCTCTACTCAGGACCAAACAACTACTCTTAGCTCCGTGTTTTTAAGTAGTTATGTAGTCGAAGCAAATCTTAGATATATGCTACCTTGAAACAAACCACATGCATTCATCTAAAAGTCATACTTCAAATAAGGAAACAGGCGGCGATAAATGCACTAGTGTTACTCTCGTCTGTAAGCACATAGTATTTGTCATCCGTCAAACAAATATCATGATAACAACCTAATCTCCTTGTCTTTTTACTCTCATCAAAAAATCCGTAAATCCATGGGAGTGTGAACAAAGGTGATAATGTAGACATGTGTTGGACGAGATATTATACGAATTCACAGAGATATTTTTAGGTTGGAATTCATCGTCAACATTTTGTTCAGAAATATGGGGTTCGACTCTTTTCCAGTGTACCTCGGTTGTCGATGGCTTTCCAGTTGATGCAGACTTCGGGTGACAAACGTTATTAGACCTACATAACTTCGTCTTGCAGGGAGTCATAAGTGTTTTGAATGTTGATAGATGACAAGTATTGCTCAAGCATAGGCTGTCCGCATATATGTGAAACTTAACTAAGATGCAGTATCCGCTTAAGTGATACCGAGATGCCACTTCGATGCGCGTGTAGGTCAGTAAGCCTCAGCAAACTCAGACGATGTCACTATTGCCTTCCTTACATGTCAGCCTATAGTATATCGAAGAACTTAAGAAGAGGTGTGAGGCAAAAAGTTATCCTAAAGTGTTCTGTGTGAAAATACATATTTTCTGTGTTTGTAGGCATATATTTTGAAGTGAAAACTGCAATCATACATTTTTTTGCTGCACTTAAGTTGTTGTTACTGTTGTCATTATTATTATTACTGTTGTTATTATTGATATCGAATAAAATGTAAACTTTGACGTCAGCACATTTTCAGTTACTCATTTTTCTAAGGTTAGAAAACAACTTTAGCTGTGAGAAATATTTAGCACATAACGTTGAAGTGAAGTATTCAAACAAAACATAATGTATCATGGAAGGGATTTTTACGATGGCTTCTTGTTTCCTTTATTAACAGATATCGGAGAAATTATTCAGTGGTTATGCTCGATTTCTAAGATGGATATATAGTACAATAATCCGCTTAGAGGTTGCTCACAAAATTGAAGTTACAGTTTGTAATCTAGCAAGAAAAAAATTAACCACAAGACCATCCACTTATTTTGTATCATCATGCAATTTCAGACAGAAAAAGCGGGCACATTCTTTGAATGAACGGAGAGTGATTTTACGGTACTAATTGCGACTGTCACAATGAAACCACTGAAAATAAATTGGTATCATTGTCTGTGTCTGACAGACGACTAGATTGGAATCTATCCGATAATTCAATAACCTATCCCTTTATTGAATATCGTCTGAATTTGTACTATACATTAATCAGGTTTACCAAACCGAATGATTGGTCATTGTTAGTTCTTTCGATAAACGAGTCACTGAAATATTGTGCGAAATACATATTCTTTGATGGATACCTAACAATTGCAGAACAAGCCTGTTCACGGTTACATAAGCTGATATATGTAAATTTACTTCTCCCAAAAGCAATGATTATATCATGAAACATTCATTCTTGGGCATTCTGTGTACGGTTTGCTACTAATTTGTGATGGAAGCAATGAGTGTGAACATTTTTCACCACATGTTCTACTGCTTCAATTGACTTTTACATGCCTTCTCTGTGAATGGACATCACTGCAATATTCAGCCGATAACTATCAAGCATTTTTGTGTAAAGATTTGCTCGGTCAGTAAAATGTTATCCAATCTTGACAGATATGCACAACAGTGAATACAAGGGCATGTTTGACCGCTATTGGGTTACAGCGTACTCAAATACCTGTTATAACATACTCAACCGTTGGCATGATTCATTTAGTGAGATAATAGCAACTATCGGCTTCCAACAAGGTAACTAACATTTGAAATCAGGAGTGCCTTAAAAGTAGGATTCAAAAGAATATCGTCACTGTGAAAGAGTATCCAGTGAATTAAAGATCAGTTTTTATAGAGAACTATATCACTCATCTGAAATTTTCCTTTTCTGTTTTACATTATGAACTGTTTTTCAATAAAAACACAGACATTCACGTAAATGTCTCTGAAAAACATTATGAGGGAAAATTTTCCAAAACTTGCCTACATTGATGAAGTCGTGTGCAGTATTCCTCAGTTAGCGGTCTACTATTCTAGAACTCCCTATGTGATATCTCGTGAAAGAATTTGTGGTATGCATTCTGTCGCATTTGTAAATCTTGCACTAAGTATGCCAGCATCTCATTGGGTTGTCTTTCCCAAGAGAACCCAGTTTTAGCACTTCACCTCGAAACATTTCGTCGATGAAAGTTTTCCGAGATATTATCCGATATTATTGTTTCTAACCTCGCCTGGTTAACTAGTTTACTAGTTACTAGCCGGTCCTAAGCCCGGGTAAAGAGGGAAGGTTGGGCATAGGGCTAGCAACCCTACCCCGTAAAACAAATCTAACCGCTAAACAAACTTCAAAGCATAAACAAAATATAAAAAATGAAAACAAACTTATACCCCGCTGGAATCGGAGAGGCGAAATGACACCAGTTGGTGAAAGCCTTCGGGAAGCCAATTGGGCCGATGTGTCTCCTCTCCCTTGATGAAAGCGAAAGTAAACGTGGGGACATGGAATGTCCTTACGATGTTTGAACCCAGTAAGGCAGCCCAGATTGCAAAGGAGATGAGAAGGTATCACATCGAAGTGCTTGGGATTTGCGAAAGCAGATGGAATGGGAGTGGACTCTGCAAACTGTCAACTGGAGAATCAATAATCTACTCCGATATTGTCACCCAGACGACAACCACGAGCACACTGAGGGAGTGGCTATCATGATGTCCCCAACAGCATCGAAGGCTCTCATGCAGTGGAAACCAATCTCCTCCAGGATCATGACAGCAAGATTCAACTCAAAAGGAAGAAAGGTCACAATCATACAATGTTATGCACCTACAAATAACGCAGAGCAAGAGAAAAAGGAGGATTTCTACAGACAACTCCAATCAACACTGGACAGGACGTCAGTTGGCGATATCAAAATTCTAATGGGCGACATGAATGCCAAACTGAGAGGGGACAACACAGGAAGAGAACTAACCATGGGTCGAGAGGCGCTAGGTGAAATGAACGAGAATGGAGAATTGTTTGCAGAATTCTGTGCATTCAGTGATTTGGTGATTGGAGGCAGTGTGTTCAAGCACAAGGATTTCCACAAAGCGACATGGATTTCACCAGACACCAGGACACATTAAAAATCAAATCGACTTTATCTCAATCTCAAGAAAATGGAGACGCAGTCTACTTAACACAAGGTCAAGAAGAGGAGCAGATTTAGGTTCACACTTCTCACTATCTAGTGCAAGGAACCTTCCAAATCAAGTTGAAAGCCTTCAAGGAAGCTGGTGATAGACCTCAATTCAAGTACAACACTCGGAAACTGAAGGATGAAACTACAAAAGAGATCTTCACGACAGTCAGCCATCAAGACAAAATGGGAGATATCGAGGGACATCCCTGAAGAAACCTGTGTGAAAGAACACTGGAAGTCTTTGAAAGAGATGTGGAAGGAAACCTGCACAACAGTATTAGGGAGGAAGAAGAAAGAAGACAAGGAATGGATCTCGACGGATACCTGGAAGCTGATAGAGGAGAGGAGGATGGTGAAGCAGAAGATAAACCAGTGCAAGGATGCTCAACGACAAGAGGACTGAGCACAATGTATAAAACACTGAACAAAGAAGTAAAGAAGAGTGCACGCAAAGACAAAAAACACTTCTACGACACACTGGCAAGTGAAGCAGAACAGGCTGCAGGTAAGAGAGACCTGACGACATTGTATCAAATAACCAGGTTGCTATCAGGGAAGAGACCAACACAGATGAAACCAATAAAAGATGAAGAAGGAAATTTAATTACGAAAGAAGAGAAACAAAGGAAACGATGGGCCGACCACTTCAAGAAGCTCTTGAATCGACCACCACCACCACCTGCACTTCGTCCAGAAATACCACCTGCAGCCGCTGAATTACAAGTGAACATAAATCCCACAACGAAAATGGAAGTCCTGAACGCCATAAAGCTACTGAAATGTGGGGAAGCAGCAGGACCAGATGGGATCCCGCCAGAAGCACTGAGAGCAGACGCATAGACAACAGCGGACATGCTCACACCACTATTGCAGAAGGTGTGGAAGGAAGAGAAGGTACCTGCCCATTGATTGGAAGAAGGGTTACCTTGTCAAACTGCCGAAGAAAGGAGACCTCAGTGCTTGCAAGAACTGGCGCGGAATCACTCTCCTGTCCACCCCAAGTAAAATATTAAGCCGCATCATCCTGGAGAGGCTTAAAGATGCACTGGATTCAAAACTACGACCGGAACAGGCAGGCTTCAGGAAGTACAAATCATGTGCGGACCAAATTGCAACGCACACTACGCATCATCATAGAACAGAGTATAGAATGGCAATCAGCTGTCTACCTCAACTTCATCGACTTTGAGAAGGCCTTTGACAGCGTCGACCGAGAAGTAATTTGGAAACTGCTTCAATACTACGGAGTACCGCAAACCTTTATCCGCCTCATTCAACAACTATATGAAGATGCCACATGCCAAGTAATTCACAGTGGGAAGCTCAGTGATGCTTTTGAAGTGAAGACAGGAGTGAAACAAGGTTGCCTACTATCCCCCATGATATCCCTGATTGTGGTGGACTGGATCATGCAGCAAACAGTAGGCAGCGAGAAGAGGGGGATACGCTGGCTGGACTGCGAAAAAGAACCTAGAAGACTTGGATTTCGCCGATGACTTTTGCCTAATGTCATATAAGCTTGAAGATATGCAGGCAAAAACTAACAAGTTGATAGAAGAGGCAGCGAAGACGGGTCTTCAAGTGAATATAGAGAAGACAGAGGTGATGAAGATACCGCACCACCACCATCAACAACAACAACAAACTCCAGTCACCATCAACGGGAGAAACTTAAAGGAAGTAACCTCCTTCACTTATCTAGGAAGCACTGTCTCAACTACAGGCGGGACGGACGAGGACGTCAAAGTCAGGATCGGAAAAGCAAGACAGGCGTTCATTAGCCTGAAACCAGTGTGGAGATCTTCTGCACTCAGCATGCGGAACAAGATACGGATTTTCAACACCAACGTCAAGTCAGTGCTCCTGTATGGTTCAGAGACTTGGCGCGTTACGAAAGGGATTTCCAATAAACTACAGACATTCATCAACAACTGCTTACGCTGGCTCGCTACTGAAGATCAGATGGCGAGAAAGAATAAGCAACAAGGAGCTCTGGGAACGAACCAACCAAGAACCTATCACACAACAGATATGCAGGAAGAAGTGGAGATGGATTGGCTATGCACTGAGAAGGCCGACTGAGGACATCACGCGTCAGGCCCTCGAATGGAATCCCCATGGGAAGCGACGAGTTGGACGTCCGAAGGTGACATGGAGGAGGTCGTGCGAGGAGGAAATGAGAGCTTGTGGGCTGTCGTGGGACCAGGTTCAAAAGATCTCAGAGAACAGAGGTCACTGGAGGCGTGCTACTGAAGCCCTATGTTCCACTAGGAACCCAAGGGACCAATAATAATAATAATAATAATAATAATAATAATAATAATAATAATAATTGTTTCTACCTATCTATTCAAGTACATGAATTCGTCACCAATGGGTAGTTGATGTAGCTATCTAGTCCCTAGTGTTCGTCACTGATTCAAGCCTGTTGATTACACTTTACAGTGTAGCTAGCTTCTAAGCGAAGTAATGCAAGGCTACGGTGCATTGTGTTTTTGTTATTCAGTTATTGTGAGTCAATTGGCGGGAGTTCCTGAACCTATGTTGCAGCAGTACTTTGATCAGAAACCATTATATCGAACTGTTGTCTCGACTATTCACTATTTTGTAACATCAGTATGTACCTGATGCAGTGAGGCCGATCTTTCACATCAATATTCTCCTCCAACTGCTATGAATCAACCGAGACAAAGTGCTTCATTGTTAGGCGATTATTCAGTAGGCATATTTTTTCACTGTAGTCGATAAAACTTATGTTTTGAAGAGTGTGGATTTTGCATAGAAGCATGTTCAACCCCAGTGAATTAATGGGACACAGTCGTAATCTTTCGGTAGTCATAGCCATTGTTATCCCTTAATATTGGAAACAAAAGTATCAGCCTTTTAGATGTGATATTGACAAATAAAATGAATAAGACTATGAAAAGAAGTGTGTTTCAGAGACCAACACTATCCAGTCAATATGCTTACTTTTGATTTTCGTTTCTTTGCAATGGAAACGAAATTAAGGGGGATACATTTTGTTCAATGTGCAATGGTTTAGTTGAAAAACTCTTGATTATCGTCAATACAGAAGCGGATTTTTAACTGCTTTCACATTATTTCTCTGGAAAACTATGACAAAAATCACAGTGAGTTTGCCTATTACTTCGAGAATGTTCAGTAAATAACTGGTAGGAAAGTAGTGTGCCCCTTTACGATCTAATTTGATATAATGGATAATATGAGCGGTTATCATCAATTTCTATTAATTTCTGTTGATTCATTAGATGTATCACTCATTGAAACAGTATTACTCACTGAATTATGTCTCACATACAGTTTATTTTCTACAATCATGCCAAGATAACTCCATTTTTCTTGTCTTCTTTGTGCTACAGGCAGCAAGATTTTCGATGCATCTGGAAGAGACGCTCAGTCATTTTTGTTGCATGTATCAGTGTTGATTCGATAAACAAAGATTGCGTTATCAAACAATCAACCTGCTAAGTTAATGTTATGGATTTTCACTTTGTCGCATCCTATTATGTAGTTGTATGTAATTGCATGCATACCTGTCGCCAAGCTTTTTTATAGATTCATCATCTCACTAGGTTCTACTGATTTTGGTTTAGCTAGGTTTTTGTGCTTGCATAGCTTAAGTGACCTTCATCGACTACTTTGATCGACGTATTTGGCCTCATAATCGTTTCAAGGGATTCGATAAAGTAAATTAATCTGGTTAATTGAATCAGAGGGATCTTTTAACCTACAATGCTCATTTCTAAGTGGTTGTGTAGGTTTAAACGCCACTCTAATTCCAGCCTTACTGAGGATTCTATGTAATGTAACCTCTATGAGGCGCCTTCCTTGTGTAGTATTACTACAGAGGTTTCGAGTTCATTTCAACGAACTTATTCTTAAACTGTACGTTCGTATATGTATAAATCTAGATGTTGAACGATTTCTTATTGGGCCTAGTACTATGGCTAAATATTTTGATAACTCTTAGACAGGAGTTTTTCCTAAGTCTACTATAGGTGAGATAGGATAACCTGGTCTGTGGATTTTAATAGAACCATAAATCCTACTGAAATTATTGGTTTTCAGCATTTCTACACGCATAAAAACATATTCATCCAAAATATTAGATCCACTATGACTTTTTAAACTTGGTTTCTTAATTTGTCCATAGGGTCCTGTCTCTATCTCTTCGCTAAGTTTCTGATTGTATCCAAATTTATTCAACACTACTGCTGAGTTGCCGTTGTCTAATTAAAAATTACTGTATTCTTGTCATTCTGAAGGTTATTCAAAGCTTCTTTTTCTGCTTTCGGTAAGTTCTGATTCATTTTTTTCTACCTCCAAAGTGTTAGTGCATACTGTGCTCGTAGCCCATCTGTAAATACCTTATTTACTGAACTTAATACTATTTCATTTATATGTATGACATCTCCAGATTTCTTCAGGAAGAACGAATCATGTGGGGATCAAATTGCAACACTACGCATCATCATAGAACAGAGTATAGAACAGCAGTCAACTCTCTACCTCAACTTCATCGATTTTGAAAAGGCATTCGACAGCGTCGACCGAGAAGTAATTTGGCAGAGAGCTGCTCCAACACTACAGAATACCACAAACTTTTATCAACCTAATTCAACAGCTATATGAAGCTACATGCCAAGTGATTCACAATGGAAAGCTCAGTGACGCCTTTGAAGTGAAGACAAGAGTCAGGCAAGACAAGGTTGTCACCTACTATCACCGATGATCTTTCTGACTGTGGTCGACTGGACTAGGTCATGCAGCGAACCGTGAGGAGCGAGAAGAGAGACATAGGCTGTTTCATCCATGAAAAGACCTTAGAAGATTTGGATTTCGCCGATGACTTGTGTCTAATGTCGCACAAACTTGAAGATCCACAGGCAGGAACTAACAAGTTGATAGGAGAGGTGAGGTAGCGAAGACAGGATTTCAAGCGAATGTAGAGAAGACAGAGGTGATGAAGATGCCCAACCAAAAACATCAACAACAAGAGGCACCAATTACCATTAACGGGAGAAACCTAAACAAAGTAGTCTTTTTCACCTACCTACCAAGGCAGCATCGTTTCAACAACAGG